TGACCCACCTGTTCGGGCGCAGCTGCAGATCCCCACGCCGCTGGGAAAAACTAAATTGGTTGACCATGTTAAATTCAACTTTGCTAAATTGACTGAGGCGCGGGATGCTGCCATGCTAAATTCCGACCGGCGTCAGAAAGCTAATGAGCGGCTCAGACTGGGTCGCGCGCACGTGCTACAGTGGAAGCCGGGGGACAGGGCATGGCTGCACTGCCCCCAGGTACCACTCGCGACATCCTCTAAACTGGTGCGGCCGTGACGGGGCCCTGTCAAGGTGGTCGAGGTTTTGCGGCCTCAGTGCGTTCGCATCAAATGGGGGAAGCGCCGGTGGTTTGTGCACCCCTCGAGACTGAAACCATTCGTTGCGGTGCGAGGCCCCACTCCACACACGCGTGGCCAAACATGTGGGGGGTCGGCCGACTCAAAGGGTCCGTCTCTGCTGCTCTCACCTGACGTGTTGCCGGCTGTCCCGCCCACAGGTGCACCGGGAATGACGGGCTCGCGCCCAACCACCTCTACGGGGATGCCGAGGGTCTCGCGACGTCAAGCGCAGACTCACTTCAAAATGGCCAGCTGCCACCGGATGGTCCGCCATCCGGGGTTGCCCCGTGTGACGGGCCTGCGGCAAGGACGCGCGCAAAAATGTGCAGACTCTTGTGATGCATTAAAAAGAAAATTTTTTTTCACGTGTATGGTTGCTGTGTGCTGCGTCGGTGGGGTGCTCCTGCCACATTGTGTTGTGTTGCGTGTGTGCTAGGGGTTCCTTGCTAAAAATGTATATACGTTGCTCTTACGGAATTCGTATTTATTCAGGGGGGTGCGTCGGGTTATTTTCCATTCAGGGTTTGTTGGTTCTTGTTGTTGTTCTCTTCACGTTATGGTTAAAATTGTTTTTTGAGGCACACGCGGGGGTCAAGGGGTTAATAAACCTTTATTGAAGTTGTTGCAGCCGGGACGGCTGCGAGCTGTACAGGGGGGGGGGGGGGGGTGATGTAGGGCTGTTACAGAGGGGCTGTTTGTGTAGGGCTGTATGCATAGGATCAAACGGGTAACAAACACAGTGGGCGGGGCTCCGTCAGTACACGGGGAGGTGCCCGCAACGACGTCCGCACCGGGCGGCCTGGGGGGGGCTGCCCGGGGGGGTTGTGATCCTCTGGGGGGTATAAAAGGGGATGAGCCGGAGAGCTCGAGGTTGAGTCTTAGAGTAAAAGGGGGAAGACGGAAGATCGACTAGCTAGGCCCTGGACTCCCCTGGGATGCCGCCCTTGTCAGGGCCGCGCAGGACCGAGCCAGTGGCGTGGTCCCGTGAACCAGAGTTAGTACTCTGGGACTCCGGGTACCGTAGCCCGACTGACCAGTGTCGGGCCAGATAGCATCCCCGTTAATGGAGGACTAGGGATAGGTCAGGGGTAGCTAGTAGAGTATTCCCAGCTATCCAGGTGAGGGAGCCGATACACCCCTCTAGTTTTGTATGTCCGCAGTGTGACTACTTGTACAAATAAATACGTGTGCCTTACAACGGTGTCCAAGCGTCCTCAACGGTACTTCATTAGTACAGGAGCAACGTTGGCGCTGTGGGTAGTGTTAGTTCCAGTGTTAGTACAGGAGTAATTTTGATGCTGTGGGTAGTGTTAGTTCCAGTGTTAGTACAGGATCAATGTTGACACTGTGGGTAGTGTTAGTTCCAGTGTTAATACAGGAGCAACGTTGGCGCTGTGGGTAGTGTTAGTTCCAGTGTTAGTACAGGAGTAACGTTGGTGCTGGGGGTAGTGTTAGTTCCAATGTTAGTACAGGAGCAATGTTAGCACTGTGGGTAGTGTTAGTTCCAGTGTTAGTACAGGAGCAACGTTGGTGCTGTGGGTAGTGTTAGTTCCAGTGTTAGTACAAGAGCAATGTTGGCGCTGTGGGTAGTGTTAGTTCCAGTGTTAATACAGGAGCAATGTTGTCACTATGGGCAGTTTTAGTTCCAGTGTTAGTACAGGAGCAACGTTGGCGCTGTGGGTAGTGTTAGTTCCAGTGTTAATACAGGAGCAATGTTGACACTGTGGGTAGTGTTAGTTCCAGTCTTAGTACAGGAGTAACGTTGGCGCTGGGGGTAGTGTTAGTTCCAATGTTATGACAGGAGCAATGTTGGCACTGTAGGTAGTGTTAGTTCCAGTGTTAGTACAGGAGCAACGTTGGCGCTGTGGGTAGTGTTAGTTCCAGTGTTAGTACAGGAGCAACGTTGGCGCTGTGGGTAGTGTTAGTTCCAATGTTATGACAGGAGCAATGTTGGCACTGTGGGTAGTGTTAGTTCCAGTGTTAGTACTGGAGCAACGTTGGCGCTGTGGGTAGTGTTAGTTCCAGTGTTAGTACAGGAGCAATGTTGGCACTGTGGATAGTGTTAGTTCCAGTGTTAGTACAGGAGCAACGTTGGCGCTGTGGGTAGTGTTAGTTCCAGTGTTAGTACAGGAGCAATTTTGGCGCTGTGGGTAGTGTTAGTTCCAGTGTTAGTACAGGAGCAACGTTGGCGCTTGGGGTAGTGTTAGTTCCAATGGTAGTACAGGAGCAATGTTGGCACTGTGGGTAGTGTTAATTCCAGTGTTAGTACAGGAGCAACGTTGGCGCTGTGGGTAGTGTTAGTTCCAGTGTTAGTACAGGAGCAACGTTGGCGCTGTGGGGAGTGTTAGTTCCAGTGTTAGTACAGGAGTAACGTTGGCGCTGGGGGTAGTGTTAGTTCCAATGTTATGACAGGAACAATGTTGGCACTGTAGGTAGTGTTAGTTCCAGTGTTAGTACAGGAGCAACGTTGGCGCTGTGGGTAGTGTTAGTTCCAGTGTTAGTACAGGAGCAACGTTGGCGCTGTGGGTAGTGTTAGTTCCAATGTTATGACAGGAGCAATGTTGGCACTGTGGGTAGTGTTAGTTCCAGTGTTAGTACTGGAGCAACGTTGGCGCTGTGGGTAGTGTTAGTTCCAGTGTTAGTACAGGAGCAATGTTGGCACTGTGGATAGTGTTAGTTCCAGTGTTAGTACAGGAGCAACGTTGGCGCTGTGGGTAGTGTTAGTTCCAGTGTTAGTACAGGAGCAATTTTGGCGCTGTGGGTAGTGTTAGTTCCAGTGTTAGTACAGGAGCAACGTTGGCGCTTGGGGTAGTGTTAGTTCCAATGGTAGTACAGGAGCAATGTTGGCACTGTGGGTAGTGTTAATTCCAGTGTTAGTACAGGAGCAACGTTGGCGCTGTGGGTAGTGTTAGTTCCAGTGTTAGTATAGGAGTAACGTTGGCGCTGGGGGTAGTGTTAGTTCCAGTGTTAGTACAGGAGTAACGTTGGCGCTGGGGGTAGTGTTAGTTCCAGTGTTAGTACAGGAGTAACGTTGCCGCTGGGGGTAGTGTTAGTTCCAGTGTTAGTACAGGAGTAACGTTGGCGCTGGGGGTAGTGTTAGTTCCAGTGTTAGTACAGAAGCAATGTTGGCGCTGTGGGTAGTGTTAGTTCCAGTGTTAGTACAGGAGCAACGTTGGCGCTGGGGGTAGTGTTAGTTCCAGTGTTAGTACAGAGGCAATGTTGGCGCTGTGGGTAGTGTTAGTTCCAGTGTTAGTACAGGAGTAAATTTGGCACCGGGGTAGTGTTAGTTCCAGTGTTAGTACAGAAGCAATGTTGGCGCTGTGGGTAGTGTTAGTTCCAGTGTTAGTACAGGAGCAATGTTGGCGCTGTGGGTAGTGTTAGTTCCAGTGTTAGTACAGGAGCAATGTTGGCGCTGTGGGTAGTGTTAGTTCCAGTGTTAGTACAGGAGCAATGTTGGCGCTGTGGGTAGTGTTAGTTCCAGTGTTAGTACAGGAGCAATGTTGGCGCTGTGGGTAGTGTTAGTTCCAGTGTTAGTACAGAAGCAATGTTGGCGCTGTGGGTAGTGTTAGTTCCAGTGTTAGTACAGGAGCAATGTTGGCGCTGTGGGTAGTGTTAGTTCCAGTGTTAGTACAGGAGCAATGTTGGCGCTGTGGGTAGTGTTAGTTCCAGTGTTAGTACAGGAGCAATGTTGGCGCTGTGGGTAGTGTTAGTTCCAGTGTTAGTACAGGAGCAACGTTGGCGCTTGGGGTAGTGTTAGTTCCAATGGTAGTACAGGAGCAATGTTGGCGCTGTGGGTAGTGTTAGTTCCAGTGTTAGTACAGGAGTAACTTTGGCGCTGGGGGTAGTGTTAGTTCCAGTGTTAGTACAGAAGCAATGTTGGCGCTGTGGGTAGTGTTAGTTCCAGTGTTAGTATAGGAGCAATGTTGGCGCTGTGGGTAGTGTTAGTTCCAGTGTTAGTACAGGAGTAATTTTGGCGCTGTGGGTAGTGTTAGTTCCAGTGTTAGTACAGGAGCAATGTTGGCGCTGTGGGTAGTGTTAGTTCCAGTGTTAGTACAGGAGCAATGTTGGCGCTGTGGGTAGTGTTAGTTCCACTGTTAATACAGGAGCAATGTTGGCGCTGTGGGTAGTGTTAGTTCCAGTGTTAGTACAGGAGCAATGTTGGCGCTGTGGGTAGTGTTAGTTCCACTGTTAATACAGGAGCAATGTTGGCGCTGTGGGTAGTGTTAGTTCCAGTGTTAGTACAGGAGCAATGTTGGCGCTGTGGGTAGTGTTAGTTCCACTGTTAATACAGGAGCAATGTTGGCGCTGTGGGTAGTGTTAGTTCCAGTGTTAGTACAGGAGCAATGTTGGCGCAGTGGGTAGTGTTAGTTCCACTGTTAATACAGTAGCAATGTTGGCGCAGTGGGTAGTGTTAGTTCCACTGTTAATACAGGAGCAATGTTGGCGCTGTGGGTAGTGTTAGTTCCACTGTTAATACAGGAGCAATGTTGGCGCTGTGGGTAGTGTTAGTTCCACTGTTAATACAGGAGCAATGTTGGCGCAGTGGGTAGTGTTAGTTCCACTGTTAATACAGGAGCAATGTTGGCGCAGTGGGTAGTGGCGCGCTGTTGCCACGAGGCCGCGCTCTGAGGCCGCGGTGAGAAGCCGCAACGCGGAAACGACTCCTGTCGACCCCCTCGCTTCCCCCCCTCCCACTCTTCGTGTCTCTAGCTGCCCCTGGCTGCCCCTCGCTGCCCTTCCCGCCCGTGAGGGTGTCCCATGGAGCTGAGTGACGCGGCCGGGCTGGACGGCCTCTCCCCGGGAGTCGCTGCGCGGCTCTGCGCGCTCCTCGACGCGAACGGGGGCCGGGGCTGGCGAGGCCTCGCCCGCGCTCACAGCCTCCGGTAGGCAGCCCTGCGCCTCGGGGTCCCCTCCGTGGTGACGTGTGTATGCCCCCCCTGCTGGCATCGCCACCATGGTTTGATGTATCGACGTTGAGCTCCTCTGAGTCGAGTGTCGGCGTCTGCGCAGGGAGGACGAACTGGAGATCGGCGAGCCGGGCCCCTCGGCGCGCCTCCTGTCGGCTCTGGGGGCCCGCGGGGTGCGGGTGTCCGATCTGGCACGGGCCCTGGGGGCCATGGGACACGACGACGCGGCCAGGGCCCTCGGGCAGGGTGAGTCCGTGCCACAGTTGTTGTTGTTGACCTTCTGGCACAGGGGACCTTCTGGCATGGCTGCTTGATTTACAAGTGGGAGCAGTGTGAGGGAGGAAGTTTGGTGGTCTACAATACAGAATGGTTGAGTGGGTGAGTGTGTAGGTGGGTGAGTGTGTGGGTGGGTGAGTGTGTGGGTGGGTGTGTGGTGGGTGAGTGTGTGGGTGGGTGAGTGTGTGGGTGGGTGAGTGTGTGGGTGGGTGAGTGTGTGGGTGGGTGAGTGTGTGGGTGGGTGAGTGTGTAGGTGGGTGAGTGAATGAGTGGGTGAGTGTGTAGGTGGGTGAGTGAATGAGTGGGTGAGTGTGTAGGTGGGTGAGTGTGTAGGTGGGTGAGTGTGTAGGTGGGTAGTGTGTAGGTGATGAGTGTGTAGGTGGGTGAGTGTGTAGGTGGGTGAGTGTGTAGGTGGGTGAGTGTGTAGGTGGGTGAGTGTGTAGGTGGGTGAGTGTGTAGGTGGGTGAGTGTGTAGGTGGGTGAGTGTGTAGGTGGGTGAGTGTGTAGGGGGTGAGTGTGTAGTGGGGTGAGTGTGTAGGGTGGGTGAGTGTGTAGGTGGTGAGTGTGTAGGTGGGTGAGTGAATGAGTGGGTGAGTGTGTAGGTGGGTGAGTGTGTAGGTGGGTGAGTGTGTAGGTGGGTGAGTGAATGAGTGGGTGAGTGTGTAGGTGGATGAGTGAATGAGTGGGTGAGTGTGTAGGTGGGTGAGTGTGTAGGTGGGTGAGTGAATGAGTGGGTGAGTGTGTAGGTGGGTGAGTGTGTAGGTGGGTGATTGAATGAGTGGGTGAGTGTGTAGGTGGGTGAGTGTGTAGGTGGGTGCGTGTGTAGGTGGGTGAGTGTGTAGGTGGTGAGTGTGTAGGTGGGTGATTGTGTAGGTGGGTGACTGTGTAGGTGGGTGAGTGTGTAGGTGGGTGAGTGTGTAGGTGGGTGAGGGGTAGGTGGGTGAGTGTGTAGGTGGGTGAGTGTGTAGGTGGTGAGTGAATGAGTGGGTGAGTGAATGAGGGGGTGAGTGAATGAGTGGGTGAGTGTGTAGGTGGGTGAGTGTGGTAGGTGGGTGAGTGTGTAGGTGGGTGAGTGTGTAGGTGGGTGAGTGTGTAGGTGGGTGAGTGTGTAGGTGGGTGAGTGTGTAGGTGGGTGAGTGTGTAGGTGGGTGAATGTGTAGGTGGGTGAGTGAATGAGTGGGTGAGTGTGTAGGTGGGTGAGTGTGTAGGTGGGTGAGTGAATGAGTGGGTGAGTGTGTAGGTGGGTGAGTGTGTAGGTGGGTGAGTGTGTAGGTGGGTGAGTGTGTAGGTGGGTGAGTGAATGAGTGGGTGAGTGGTAGGTGGGTGAGTGTGTAGGTGGGTGAGTGTGTAGGTGGGTGAGTGTGTAGTGGTGAGTGTGTAGTGGGTGAGTGTGTAGGTGGGTGAGTGTGTAGGTGGGTGAGTGTGTAGTGTGAGCTGTGGGTGAGTGTGTAGGTGGGTGAGTGTGTAGGTGGGTGAGTGTGTAGGTGGGTGAGTTGTGGTAGGTGGTGAGGTGTAGGTGGGTGAGTGAATGAGTGGGTGAGTGAATGAGTGGGTGAGTGAATGAGTGGGTGAGTGTGTAGGTGGGTGAGTGAATGAGTGGGTGAGTGTGTAGGTGGGTGAGTGTGTAGGTGGGTGAGTGTGTAGGTGGGTGAGTGTGTAGGTGGGTGAGTGTGTAGGTGGGTGAGTGTGTAGGTGGGTGGGTGTGTAGGTGGGTGGTGTGTAGGTGGGTGAGTGTGTAGGTGGGTGAGTGTGTAGGTGGGTGAGTGTGTAGGTGGGTGAGTGTGTAGGTGGGTGAGTGTGTAGGTGGGTGAGTGTGTAGGTGGGTGAGTGTGTAGGTGGGTGAGTGTGTAGGTGGGTGAGTGTGTAGGTGGGTGAGTGTGTAGGTGGGTGAGTTAATGAGTGGGTGAGTGTGTAGGTGGGTGAGTGTGTAGGTGGGTGAGTGTGTAGGTGGGTGAGTGTGTAGATGGGTGAGTGTGTAGGTGGGTGAGTGTGTAGGTGGGTGAGTGTGTAGGTGGGTGAGTGAATGAGTGGGTGAGTGTGTAGGTGGGTGAGGTGTGTAGGTGGGGTGAGTGTGTAGGTGGGTGAGTGAATTAGTGGGTGAGTGTGTAGGTGGTGAGTGTGTAGGTGGGTGACGTGAATGAGTGTGGTGAGTGTGGTAGGTGGGTGAGTGTGTAGGTGGGTGAGTGTGTAGGTGGGTGAGTGTGTAGGTGGGTGAGTGAATGAGTGGGTGAGTGTGTAGGTGGGTGAGTGTGTAGGTGGGTGAGTGTGTAGGTGGGTGAGTGTGTAGGTGGGTGAGTGTGTAGGTGGGTGAGTGTGTAGGTGGGGTGAGTGTGTAGGTGGGTGAGTGTGTATGTGGGTGAGTGTGTAGGTTGGGTGAGTGTGTAGGTGGGTGAGGTGTGGTAGGTGGGTGAGTGTGTAGGTGGGTGAGTGTGAGGTGGTGAGTGTGTAGGTGGGTGAGTGTGTAGGTGGTGAGTGAGTGTGTATGTGGGTGAGTGTGTAGGTGGGTGAGTGGATAGGTGGGTTGAGTGTGTAGGTGGGTGAGTGTGTAGGTGGGTGAGGGGTGAGTGTGTAGGTGGGTGAGTGTGTAGGTGGTGTGAGTGTGTAGGTGGGTGGTGGTAGGTGGGTAGTGTGGTAGGGGTGAGTGAATGAGTGGGTGAGTGTGTAGGTGGGCGAGTGTGTAGGTGGGGTAGTGTGTAGGTGGGTGAGTGTGTTAGGTGGGTGAGTGTGTAGGTGAGTGAGTGTGTTAGGTGGGTGAGTGTGTAGGTGGGTGAGTGTGTAGGTGCGTGAGTGTGTAGGTGGGTGAGTGTGTAGGGTGGTGGAGTGTGTAGGTGGGTGAGTGTGTAGGTGGGTGAGTGTGTAGGTGGGTGAGTTAATGAGTGGGTGAGTGTGTAGGTGGGTGAGTGTGTAGGTGGGTGAGTTAATGAGGTGGGTGAGTGTGTCAGGTTGGGTGAGTGTGTAGGTGGGTGAGTGAATGAGTGGGTGAGTGTGTAGGTGGGTGAGTGTGTAGGTGGGTGAGTGAATGAGTGGGTGAGTGTGTAGGTGGGTGAGTGAATTAGTGGGTGAGTGTGTAGGTGGGTGAGTGTGTAGGTGGGTGAGTGAATGAGTGGGTGAGTGTGTAGGTGGGTGAGTGTGTAGGTGGGTGAGTGTGTAGGTGGGTGAGTGTGTAGGTGGGTGAGTGTGTAGGTGGGTGAGTGAATGAGTGGGTGAGTGTGTAGGTGGGTGAGTGTGTAGGTGGGTGAGTGTGTAGGTGGGTGAGTGTGTAGGTGGGTGAGTGTGTAGGTGGGTGAGTGTGTAGGTGGGTGAGTGTGTAGGTGGGTGAGTGTGTAGGTGGGTGAGTGTGTAGGTGGGTGAGTGTGTAGGTGGGTGAGTGTGTATGTGGGTGAGTGTGTAGGTGGGTGAGTGTGTAGGTGGGTGAGTGTGTATGTGGGTGAGTGTGTAGGTGGGTGAGTGTGTAGGGGGTGAGTGTGTAGGGTGAGTGTGTAGGTGGGTGAGTGTGTAGGTGGGTGGGTGAGTGTGTAGGTGGGTGAGTGTGTAGGTGGGTGAGTGTGTAGGTGGGTCAGTGTGTAGGTGGGTGAGTGTGTAGGTGGATGAGTGTGTAGGTGGGTGAGTGTGTAGGTGGGTGAGTGTGTAGGTGGGTGAGTGTGTAGGTGGGTGAGTGTGTAGGTGGGTGAGTGTGTTGGTGGGTGAGTGTGTAGGTGGGTGAGTGTGTAGGTGGGTGATTGTGTAGGTGGGTGAGTGTGTAGGTGGGTGAGTGTGTATGTGGGTGAGTGTGTAGGTGGGTGAGTGTGTAGGTGGGTGAGTGTGTAGGTGGGTGGGTGAGTGTGTAGGTGGGTGGGTGAGTGTGTAGGTGGGTGAGTGTGTAGGTGGGTGAGTGTGTAGGTGGGTGAGTGTGTAGGTGGGTGAGTGTGTAGGTGGGTGAGTGTGTAGGTGGGTGAGTGTGTAGGTGGGTGAGTGTGTAGGTGGGATGAGTGTGTAGGTGGTGAGTGTGTAGGTGGGTGAGTGTGTAGGTGGGTGAGTGTGTAGGTGGGTGAGTGTGTAGGTGGGTGAGTGTGTAGGTGGGTGAGTGAATGAGTGGGTGAGTGTGTAGGTGGGCGAGTGTGTAGGTGGGCTAGTGTGTAGGTGGGCGAGTGTGTAGGTGGGTGAGTGTGTAGGTGGGTGAGTGTGTAGGTGGGTGAGTGTGTAGGTGGGTGAGTGTGTAGGTGGGTGAGTGTGTAGGTGGGTGAGTGTGTAGGTGGGTGAGTGTGTAGGTGGGTGAGTTTGTAGGTGGGTGAGTGTGTAGGTGGGTGAGTGTGTAGGTGGGTGAGTGTGTAGGTGGGTGAGTGTGTAGGTGGGTGAGTGTGTAGGTGGGTGAGTGTGTAGGTGGGTGAGTGAATGAGTGGGTGAGTGTGTAGGTTGGTGAGTGTGTAGGTGGGTGAGTGAATGAGTGGGTGAGTGTGTAGGTGGGTGGGTGAGTGTGTAGGTGGGTGAGTGTGTAGGTGGGTGAGTGTGTAGGTGGGTGAGTGAATGAGTGGGTGAGTGTGTAGGTGGGTGAGTGTGTAGGTGGGTGAGTGAATGAGTGGATGAGTGTGTAGGTGGGTGAGTGAATGAGTGGGTGAGTGTGTAGGTGGGCGAGTGTGTAGGTGGGCTAGTGTGTAGGTGGGTGAGTGTGTAGGTGGGTGAGTGTGTAGGTGGGTGAGTGAATGAGTGGGTGAGTGTGTAGGTTTGTGAGTGTGTAGGTGGGTGAGTGAATGAGTGGGTGAGTGTGTAGGTGGGTGGGTGAGTGTGTAGGTGGGTGAGTGTGTAGGTGGGTGAGTGTGTAGGTGGGTGAGTGAATGAGTGGGTGAGTGTGTAGGTGGGTGAGTGTGTAGGTGGGTGAGTGTGTAGGTGGGTGAGTGTGTAGGTGGGTGAGTGAATGAGTGGATGAGTGTGTAGGTGGGTGAGTGAATGAGTGGGTGAGTGTGTAGGTGGGCGAGTGTGTAGGTGGGCGAGTGTGTAGGTGGGTGAGTGTGTAGGTGGGTGAGTGTGTAGGTGGGTGAGTGTGTAGGTGGGTGAGTGTGTAGGTGGGTGAGTGTGTAGGTGGGTGAGTGTGTAGGTGGGTGAGTGTGTAGGTGGGTGAGTGTGTAGGTGGGTGAGTGTGTAGGTGGGTGAGTGTGTAGGTGGGTGAGTGTGTAGGTGGGTGAGTGTGTAGGTGGGTGAGTGAATGAGTGGGTGAGTGTGTAGGTTTGTGAGTGTGTAGGTGGGTGAGTGAATGAGTGGGTGAGTGTGTAGGTGGGTGGGTGAGTGTGTAGGTGGGTGAGTGTGTAGGTGGGTGAGTGTAGGTGGGTGAGTGAATGAGTGGGTGAGTGTGTAGGTGGGTGAGTGTGTAGGTGGGTGAGTGTGTAGGTGGGTGAGTGTGTAGGTGGGTGAGTGAATGAGTGGATGAGTGTGTAGGTGGGTGAGTGAATGAGTGGGTGAGTGTGTCCGTGGGTGAGTGAATGAGTGGGTGAGTGTGTAGGTGGGTGAGTGAATGAGTGGGTGAGTGAGTGGGTGGGAGAGCGAGCGAGTCAGCGTTTGAGGGAGTGTATTGCTGTGACCTGCAGTGCTCGTGGTTGAACACTGTGGACGAGATGACATTGTGACAGGTGGAGGGATAGACGAGTGAAGCTTGCGTGCCGTGCGTGGCTGCGTACCGATAGAACCGGTGTTTGTGGAGTGGTGCTCGGAGTCACAGCAGGCCTGGCGGGGAGAGTCCGTCACTCTGGGGTGCCTTGCACGTGGCAACCCTCCACCACGGTTCACCTGGTTCCACGGCAAACACGAGGCGAGTCCCACGTTGGCACCACGTGTGTCCACCGCACTGCGCATGATTGCATTGCCAAGGTGTTTGCGGTACGCCACGGATGAACGCCAACGTGCGCACCGACACGCAGAAATCACAACACGGGCGAGCAAACAAGACGCCCCCTCCTTACCATAGCTGCCCCTCCACAAAATACAAGTACAGTGTTTAGTACACGTACCATCAGCCACACGACCTCCCTTCTGGGAGTGCTTCATGTCAGCCGCGTTGGTTCAACTCTGCACCGGTTTTGACATTCAGTGTCTCATCAGCAGAGTCAGACTTGCTTGAGCCAACGCTGGTGAACTGCCACAACACAAGATAATCATGAGCGTCGTTGTGGATAATATAAGTAACACAATGAATACGCAGACAATGCCTCCCCCTTCCCATATATGAACTTCACTGTTGCCGACCCCTTTGCCTCGTCAGATCCCGGACGCCGTGGGCCCTGAGCTGCTGCTGGCGTCCGTGTTGCCGCGTGACGCCGGTCACTACACATGCCGCGTTCACAACGAAGTCAGCTACGGCTTCACCGACTGGATCAGGCTGAGGGTGCTGGGCGACCAAACGACGCCAGGTCATTGCCACGGTTAGAGCGCAGCACTACGAACCCGGCGACCCAAGTTCAGTTCCCACTCACTGCCAACACCAGTGCAAAACATCTGAACTCCGGCCTGGGCCTCCCCTTCGTCGGACTCGGTCCGAAATGAGTACCCGGTGCTGTGTGAAAACATAAGCACGAGGGAGACAAAGGTGGCCAGGCATGAAGCTGACCAACCTCCTCCTCGTGTCAACTTAGTGTCAACCTAAATAGGTGCTAGCTAACATGACGTTTGTCTTTGTGTGTGCGCATGCAGAGAAAAGACCTGGTCCTGTGGAGCACTCGGAGGCCACGGGGGCCACGCAGGCCTGGGGTCCCCAGAGCCCCTCACAGTCGCCCTTCTTACCCCTCGGTACAATCCGCCAGGTTGCACCCCACTGTCAGAGCAGCTTTGCGCAACATAGCCCCAGTGTCGCACAGTCTGCAGCATGAGGCTCCTTCAGTAATGCGCAGCCTACCACCATATCCGCGACCTCCATTTGCGATAGCGTGGTTGCGGAGGCAGACAATTCGCCTGCTTCCCTTGTTTGTCTCTCCACGTAAACATTTTAAGTATTTTGTACACATCCTATCAGTCACGCGGCCTTCCATAGTTGCATCATTTCAGCAGCATTGGTTCAACACCAACACCAATGCTGGACGGGTTTTGACATTTGGTGTCTCAATAGCAGTTGGGCTTGCTTGATCCTTTGCATGGTGAACAGGAGACGTATTGTCTGCTTACTTATTTTGTTATATTCCCTACAATGATCCTAGTAATTATTCTGTTCTTTGTATTGTTTAATTTTGGGTTGAACTATGACCCATAACTAACAGAGAAGACCGTTGCCTATAATATTTGGCAGTACCAGCATTGGTTAATTAATGGTTCCTATACTTTCAGATGCGGAGTCAAGTTCCTTCCAGACCACGTTTTATGGTAAGGTTTAGTTCGTGTCATTGTAAGATGCAGTGCATGTTGGATTGTGTTTATATTCAAACAGATTTTTTGTACTAGGCCACGTAATCTGGCCAAATGTTATCGTGTAAACCCTCCATCACCCGGCACAGCCAAACAGATATAGTTGTCACATCTGCAAACTGCTTAATGTGCACCACTCACTTTTGTGTCAGTTCACTCACCCGTGAGCTAAAGAACGATTCTCTGTTCTCTGACAATTGTATTTGGCTGCATCAGGTGGCGGCTGGTCCATACGACCACATCTGGCCAGATCGTCACGTGGTCTAACTAGGAAATCAATAATAAATCCTACCTCCAGCTGTGAAGACTTCCACGTTACTGCTATAGGCACTGTATTTGACTCTTATGTCCTTGTTTGTGTACAAATTAGCACAATACCGTAGACACCCTACGTCTGTTTAATGCTTCTTTAAGTTAATTGTAATTGTGCTGTAATTGGTCTAAACACAATCTGCCGGATCCAACTTGCGCTGCAGAGAATTTATTATGTAACACTGATTTATGTTTAACACGTAGGCTTTTGCAACCAATATTATTCATAATCAACTTTTTGGGTTAGATCGCGATCTAACCCAAAAATGTTGATTATGAACGCTGATTTATGTTTGTCCAATAGTTATTTTTGCTCCGATTTCCCATTTGCATCATTGCTGTATTTTATTTTATTTGTTTTGCACATGAAACTAATCCAGGTCTCTTCAGTGCTGCCCACCTGGTTGCGCGGCGTACATTTGAATGCCACTACAATGCCATCTCTACTAGGCCTGCAGCAGCAGCGGCTCATTGCGTGCGCATTTCTTTTGTCATCACAGCAACGGAGAAGGTGGCGCTGGTGATCGGCAACTTGAGTTACCGAAACCACACCGCCCTCCGCGCCCCCCTGGTCGACGCCCGTGACCTCACGTCGTTGCTCCGCGTGCTCGACTTCCGGGTCGTGACCCTCATTGACCTCGACCTCCAACACATGCGGCTGGCCGTGGCGCGATTCCTTGAGCTGCTGGACGAGGGCGTGTACGGTGTGTGCGCCCTGCGGCAGCACCCTGCAGCAGCACCCGTCAGCACCAACTCTGACACACGGCACAGCTCCACCCAGCACAGTGACACAGTGCACCAGGCACAGTGACACCCTGCATTTCTAATGCTGGCACCCAGGACAGTGACACCCTGCAACATGTGTTATGCAACACACAACACGAAGCCATCACTCGTGTCGCTGTGGAGAATATAAGTAACACGATGAATAAGCAGACGATGCCTCTTCCTTTACACAAGCAAACTCTGGACAGATTTTGACAATCACTAAGGATTTGCATTTGGCTCGTATTCCCTCATCTGTTCACACATGAGTACAATAGTCACCCTGTATCTCGTTCATATTTCTGTAAATTCACATTGTACTTATGCTGTGATCAGTCAAAGCACAATCTTCTCATGCCGACTCATGCTACAGGGAATTTATTATTAAACATAGATTTGTGTTTGTGCAATGTCATGGGATACAATTGATTTTGCTCTGATTTCTACTTGCTTCATTGCTGTACTGTTTTTGTTTTTCTTTTGTCATTGCGGTGACCCAGGTCACTCGTGTAAATGTGACTCATCCTGGTCTCTTGAGGTCTCACCTGGTTACACAAATTAACTTCAAACTTAGTTTCTCATTAGCAGAGTAAGGTGTGCTTGAACCAATGCTGGTGAACTGACATATAGGATAGGCATGGACCCTTTGTTTAAGATACGGGCCTGAGTTTAACGCAGAACTACATGGCACTTATAAGGTCGCACTCATTACACACAATGTGCTTGCCACAAATGAACCACAAAATCTTGCTGATTTCATCAAGGAACATAAACCATCATGCTAACTCCGGTCATTCTCGCAGAGGCTTTTGGCTAACCATCAAACAAAGATGGGCACTGCATCATGCGCTTTCAAATGCGCTTCTGCAGCTGTCTGGAATGCTCTTCTCTCTGATATTAAGAAGCCACTGGAGCGATGCACTTTCAAATCTAGATTGAAAACTAATTTCTTTTCTTTTTAGTTTGTTGTCCTTCCTTCGCATCTTCGATTTGCAAAGTTGGCTACGTACCATGCGAAAGAAGTTCAACATATATACTTTACGCAGAATGATAATTCGCGTCTCCATGCTGACAGGTCTGCTCTACTTCGCGGGTCACGGCTTTGAGAACTATGGGCAGAGCTATCTGGTCCCCGTGGATGCGCCGAGGCCCTACCTAAGCGAGCACGCGCTCAGCGCTACCACCATCCTGCGGGGCATGCAGGCCCGGCGCACCGGCCTCAACGTGCTGCTGCTCGACATGTGCCGCAAGCGGTACGTGCGCCGCAGTGGTGCCATCTCATTTGTCCGGTGCGGTGATTTGTGACCCGACGGGAATCGTGTTTCTGGGTCATTGTTTAGTGTTTTATGTTTCACCCATAAATCCCATATACACCCATACACACAATATACAAAGCAACAGACTTGTTGGGGCAAGTGCTGTTAGCAAGCAGCTGTTAATGCCAGCGTGCAAATGAGGAGGGTCGCCAGCACCACGCCTAGCCGCCTTTGTCTTCAGAGTGCCGATGTTTACACTTTGCCATCAGGTATTCATTTAAGGCTGAGTTGACATAGGGGAGACCATTTCAGATATTTGTAACTAAATTTGGGCATGACAAGGAATTGCACCTGGGTCGCCTGGTTTCTAGCACAGTGCACTAAACACTGTGCGGTGTGGTGTGGTGTGTTTCGTTTGGTGTGCGGTGCCCTGTGTGTGTGGGGTGCAGCAACGTGCATGAGTGCACGGTGCCACCCGTGGAGACACTGGAGGTGACGGCCAACATCGTGTTTGGATACGCCACGTGAGAATGGTCACGGGAGGGGAGTACGTGCAGTGATGGGAGAGCAGTCACGGCAGGGGAGGGCAGATACAGAGCAGTCACGGGAGGGGAGGGCAGACGTGAGAGTGGTCATGGGAGGGGAGTGCATGCAGTCATAGGAGAGCAGTCACATGAGAACCGTCACGGGAGGGGAGGGCAGTCATAGGTGCGAAAGCCAGTTACAGGAGTGCAGTCATGGCAGGGGAGGAACACGGGAGGGGGCTACTTACGGAGGGGAACACATTGAGGGGAGTGTCGTGAAACGTAGGAACTAGAGTTGGCCCCTTCCCAACCACAGAGCAAACCGGACAATTATCTCTGTCGGCTTGGGTCTACCAGAGCTGCGTAGTCACTGCAAGAGAGTCCAACACAGCAATCCCGGTGCCAGATCTCAGTACAAATCAGTTGCTACCACCAGAACACAGATGCCAAATCGGAGCCTCGTATCTAAGTCCGACCCAGACAGGTGGTGACCCTAGGGTGATCTATGACGGCAAATGCTCCTGCTTAAGGAAAGGGTTCAAGTTTCAAATTATGTGTAAGGATAAGTCTCATTTGCAAAATGACCTGGGTCACCACAGTGACAAAAGAGTACAGTACAGCAATGAAGCAAATAGAATCAGAGCAAAGACAACCAATGAGTCAAGACCAAATAGAATTCAGATAAAAAAAAGTGCATTAAGTAAACAATTAAAAACAGTGTACAACATTAACAATATCACATTTAGTAAATGTACTGTAATGAAAGTCGGCTCTGACAAAATTCCGTTCACAGTAGAATTAAGTCACATTAAGTTACAATTACGCTACAATTACGTTACATTTGCCCAGACTGGCCAAAGGGCAGTCTAGGCAAATGCCCGGTGAGCCAGTCCATTCCGTAGGTCAATGGGCTGGTTTGTGTGGGGAAATTGCAAATGTGATCAGAGTAAAAAGAATAGATGTTGTAAAATTCAATAATTTTACAGTATTACCTCTAATGTGTGCACGTCATTGCTTATTTACTATCTCAGTTGGCATTAAGTCCTCATATTCGGCAGCCCCAAAGATTCTTCCTCACCGGCCAATTTGTTTTTTGGACCCAGTCCCAAATGGGCCAATGAAATCGCACGGCAAAATAACACTAAGTCGTCACATTGCAAATCTAGCAAGTATACAGTTTGTCGAACAACCCATTTAACAAATAAAGTAATTATAAAAAATAATACCCATAAGTTCGTCACTGGTTACAGAACTATCAGCCTGGATTCAGGGTGCTTATTGCATTGAGTCAACAGGCAAGTGCAACTGCTGAAGTTATCATGCAGAATCGAAAGCTCGACCACACATTGGGGAAAGTAACCATGGACATTTTTGACGAATTGGAATTTCAGGCATTGGGGGCATTAACAGAGTTGCATGTGGTCACCTTCCCTCCCATGTGCTAGCTGCCAGGATGCAGAGGCCTACGAGCTGGACGTGGGTCCAGGGGAGAAGGCCGGCGTGGCAAATGGCCTCTTCATGCGCTTCCTCAAGGAGCGGCTGCTGGAGGACCGCAAGGTGACGGCGATGCTGGATAGCGTCGCCGAAGGTACGGTGCAGTGCCACGGGCAAGTGCCCCCCGGTACTCTAGAACTGACTGCTCACTCACCGATCCTCATGATCAGCCCACACCAGGGCCTGGACACACAAAGTCAGGGGACCCTATAAGGGTGGACACACATGACAACAGCCGCCAATCGCCACTAAATGGCGGTGACGTCACCACGGCACTTGTGCCAGGACAGGTGCACTTTGAGTGCATGCTAACAAAGACAAGATCCTCTGTATAGCCTTAACAGGCTGTTGGGGCAAGTTCTGTTAACGGGCACCTGCGAAGACTGACATGGTACACGAGGGGGTGGGTGTCCAGCACCATGCCTGACCACCTTTGTCTCCGCAGTGGTAATGATTTTTACACACCGCATCAGGTAATCATTTGAAGCTGAGTCGACCTAGGGGAGGCCTAGGACTGGTTCATATAATCGCCACTGGTGCTGGCCATGAGCGGGAATCGAATTCCAGCCGCCGGGTTCGTAGCGCAGCGCACTAACCACTACACTACCGCTTCCCACACACACGCGTATACATGCATGTGAACATGCATCCACTTTCACACTGGAAGTCGCTGCATCCACCTCCTCCGTGCCCGTGTGGCACTCGATCTGCTCTCCTCGTCCTCGCCCCAGCTACCACACAATCAACAAGCAGATGAGGTGCCTGATTACGTCCCATTTCAGTCCCTCCACGCAAAAAATATTCTCGTTTTTTTCTACACATCCCCTCAGTGCATAATTCCAGCATCATTGGTTCAACACAAGCAAACTCTGGACTAGTTTTGCCATTCAATGTCTCCTCAGCAGTCAGGCATGCTTGAACCAATGCTGGTGAATTGCCAGTTGTTTATAGGTAAGGATCCTTTCTGGTAGATATGGGTCCGAGTTCAATGCAAAACTACACTTGGGCTACGCCCACTTTTAAACCTTTCTAAACAGTTGCATTCGAGGCTTACCCCCCTTTTCTCTCCGCCTGATGACGACTGCTTGTGTTGCGATCAAAACGTCTTAGTTTTTTTTGCTTATTTTATTTGTATTAATTTGAACCTACCTACATGACTTTACTGAAAGACCCAAATAATTTACAACACACAACGCAAAGCAATCATTGTTGTCATCATGTAGAATGTAACTCAATAGATGAGCTATGTGAAGGAGGCTGGCAATTGTCTGTTTATTGATTTTGTTACTTATCTTCTCCACAACAATTCCCGCTCACGACTAACATCGGTGACGAATATCTGAACAGGTCCTGGGCCTCCCCGAGGTTGACTCAGCCTTAGTACAGGTGGTCTCCGGTTTACGACGATCCACATTCACGACGTTATATAATGCCATCATGGTTCGATTTATGATGCAAAAACATGATTGACGACGCATCTTCCGACGTGACTCTGAACACATTTGAACAGAGTTGGTCTGCTTTCCGATGTGACTTGGCATGGAGCTTTTGTTATTCTCAAGTGTTTTTGTAGATTTTTTACCTCTTAACCCCTGTTAAATATTGCTGATAAAAGGAAAAAGTATGTTTCTACTGTTTTGACTGTCGATGGGAATAGTTGTTACAGTCTGTGCGGTCCCCCTTCTTAAAGAGGCGGACCACCAGGAATAGGGTCTGATTTACGACGGGGTTTCCAGGGACGCATTGTAACGTCGTAAAATTGGGGATTGCCTGCCTGTATCTGGATAGATATGCGCCTGTGCGTGGTGCCGACCACACCGCTCCCTCGTGCGCCGTGTTGGGCTTCATAGTCACTCGCTCACCAAGGTTTGTTCAGGCTTTAGGTGGGGATCTCCTTCTCTGCATGCGTGCAGACATGGGCCGCTGTAACCTGGCACGCGGGAGGCAGGCGCTGGAGATCCGGAGCAGCTTGTCTGAGCGGCGTGCCCTCACCGACCCCCGCAGACCTGCCCAGGGCTTCCCTGCGCGCTCCATCTACCAACGCTGGGCGCAGGCGCACGGTACCATGCGCGTTTTAGAGCACAGTGGCCTAGCGCAGGCCCAGGGACTCACAACGTCAAGCAGCCAGCAACAGATAGCACCATCACAGTTTTAATAGAGAAGAGTGTTACACGTTTTTTGACTTGAGCAAGGTTAGTTATGACAAGAGCTTGGGAAAGAGATAATGGAAGGGAATTCCACAGTGAAGCAGTTCAAGGGAAGGAACAGAAGTGAGGTGACCTGCAGTGTGGTGAGTAAGTGAGAGAGTGAGTGGGATAGTCGGTGAATCGGTGAAGGAGGGGGTGAGTGAGTTGGTGAGTGAGTGATGGTGCCAGTGAGTGGGTGAGTGAGTAGTCGAGTGAGTGTGTGGGTGAGTAAATGATTGGATGAGTGAGTGCGGTGCCTCAAATATTGGAGGAAGAAATCACCCTCTGTGAGTGGCTGGCTGAGATGTCATCTGTTGAGGATGTCCTGAAGGCGATCCAGAGTCTGAGACCAGGAAAGGCACCGGGCAGAGATGATCTCCCAAGCGAAATGCTGAGGGAGGGTGGCGTTTGTGCACAGACTGCCCTACATGACATCATAACAACAGTCTGGACCACTGGACGGGTTCCTCAGGATTGGAAGGATGCTCTGGTGGTCCCCCTCTTTAAGAAGGGGGACCGCACAGACTGTAACAACTACAGGGGCATCTCACTCCTCAATGTTCCGGGAAAGGTCCTGGCAAGAATTATTCAACATCGCCTTTCCAGGCACGCTGAGGAGAGGCTTGCAGAGCCCTAATGTGGTTTCAGGAAAGGGCGGTCCTGCACAGATGTAGGGAATTGTAACAAGACTTACATCTCTGCTTTATTGATCTGGTCAAGGCCTATGATACCATCAGTAGGCCTGGGATCTGGGTTGTTCTTCGTGCTTTCGGAGTCCCTGACTCTCTGCTCACAATCATTAAGGACCTTCATGATGGTGAGCAGGCCCGGGTAAAACTACGTGGCCGGGAGTCGGAGCCATTCCCTGTTCACCTTGGGGTGCGACAGGGATGTCCTCTGGCTCCTACATTATTTAACATCTATTTCGACCACGTAGTTTGTGAAGACTTTGATTGCTGTACTGGAGGAATTTCCATCTGGTACAGATGCAATGGGAGGCTGATCAATGCCCAGGTGCGGTCAAGGGATGGCTCCCTATTGGTTAACCATGTTATGTATGCCAATGATCTGGTAATTTCTGCTCACTCAGAGGAGGAGTTGAGGCGCTGCTGCTGAACCTGGAGCATGCCACTAAGAGGTGGGGCCTTATCATTAGCCCCACCAAAACTAAGCACCTGCCTGGGTATTTTGTACCATTGGACACTCCACCCCCACAACTCCCAATTGGTGATGGGGCAGTTGTGGAGAGAGTGGAAAGCTTCCCATACCTGGGCAGTGTGCTCATGAGCGGCTCCGTTTGACAGCAGAGGTCTCACTCCGAATCAGTCGAGCGGCATTATCTTTTCATCAGTTGCATAATGTGTGGAAGCTAGCTGGTCTGTCGCTCCACATGAAGCTTCAGGTCTTCTCGGCCACAGTTATGCCCTACCTTATCTACGCTTGCGAAACGTGGACCCCCCTAATGGAACATCTTCACCGGTTAGAAACATTTAGGCTGGCCTGCCTATGATCCATCCTGGGTTTAACCAGGTTGGGTTGTGTGAGGAGCTCACAAATCCTTGAAAGATCTGGAAAAGTCCCATCGGTGAGCTCCTCCGGCGGGCAAGGCTGCGTTGCCTGGGTCATGTAGCCCGCATGCCCAGCCACCGCATGCCTAAACAGCTTTTGTTCGGCCAGATTGAGGGGGCTAAACGGGTGCGGCACGGGCTAGAGAAGAGATGGAGTGATATAGTACAGGAGGATGTGGAGCTGAGTGGACTTGCCGATGACTGGTACCAGCGGTGCCAAGATCGGCCTCTGTGGAGGAGGGTCGTGAAGGATGCTACTGGGCAGTTGGAGGCAGTCGCCCTCCAACAACAACGGAGGGTGGAGAAGTGATGCTCACAACAACGAGTGGAGCACCGGGTGGCTAAAGTAGAGCAAGTTGGCACAGTAGGGGGTACAGGTGGTGGATCGGCCAGTCATCTCAGTCAGTCGACCCGGGGCACCTGGATCTGCCCCGTAACCTACTGCCAGCGGGCGTTCGACACTTCACGTGGCCTCAACGTGCACTTAGCCTGGCACAAGCGCCGTGGTGACGTCACCGCCAATTAGTGGCGAATGGTGGTTGTTGTTGTTGGATGAGTGGGTGTCTTGCTGTGACCTGCAGGGTGGTGGTTGAACACAGCATAGATGAGATTAAACAGGCAGCACCTGGTAGAGCCTTCAACCAGAAAGAATGCAACAATGTATGTTTGTTATTTATTGGTGTAGAGCTCCAATTAAAAGCTTTAAATTTGAAAACCGCTTGCCCCCCCCCCCTTTGAGATTCTCCTCTGTCACTGACTCCCATGCCCCTCACGGTGCCCTCAGAGCTACCCCCCAACCGCACGCGCGAGTTTGACTCGGGCTGCCTTGTGCACCTGGGCTTTGCTGCCGAGTTCTCCAACGTACTGATGATCTACGCACGCGTCCTGGAGCGCGGCGCCGGCGTGGTCTCGTGCCGCGCATATGTCACCGACCTGCCGGACGTGAGTAGTGTGACGGCCACTCGCATGCGCCGAGCGGCCACGCGGCAACCCGGCAACACAGCAGCGTGTTCCCCGCATGTTGAAGAGCTACACGGTTTGATTCCGGCAGCCACCCTGACTAGTACTGCGGTTGTGTATTAACTGCAATAATACTCCGCGCCGTCTGCTTCACCGTGGACGTTCAGGATCCCGTGATGTTATTCACAAGAGAAGGCGATTGTGTGCCAGGGTCACAGTCCAAATTTACCAAATTCAAAAATTAGACTGAAAATTACGCGGTTGGGATCACACACAGCAGCAATCATAGCCTCCTAATGGCCACTGGGGATTCCCTTTGAGATGTGTTGAGATTACTAGATGTTAATTGCTCTGAGATGCCCCGGTGTACAGGCGGGCGGCTCTATCAAAAACACAACTCGTGACCATTCTGCTTTGAGGACCAGCACCTGGTAGGCCATTGTGAATCATGGCTATGACAGCACTTCACCAGACACCACCAGACAGAATTACAGTTGATGATCGATTATCTGGTGTCTTATTATTCAGCTTCCAACATTATCCGGCGGTCCCAGGCCCATCAGGCAAAACCGGCAAAACCGCTCCAAAGGTTGTACCAGTCCGGCGATCGACGCCATGTGCGTGACAAAAAAAGTAACAATGCTTGATTTAAATGTCAAATATAAACAGTACATTATACACTACATACAACTTAAGCAATGAAAATACTGCACGTATATAAATGTTTCATGAAAAATAGGTACAGAAATTAAAACAGAAATTTTTTTGTGCAATCCGGCGAAAAGTGCATGTAATTCGGCGTTCACCGGAGCACCGATCTAAAGGCTGCATCAGTCAAGCGATCGTCAGATGAGTGGTTTTTGAAACAGCCCAGTACATACATTACTCCATGCAGAGTCTTCGAGATTGGTGTGGTAAGTACGGTATAGTAAATGCAGTAACTTTTTACAGGAGGATATTTATTATTGTCTATTCGTATGTTTATTTATGCCAATTTCAAATAGGAAACTAATTTAAAACTCTAAAAATCATATACACAACACCCTAAGCATAATGTTAGACAAGAATGTGCAAAAAAAGCTATATTAAATCATGATGTGATTATATATCTGGATTTTTTGAAAATCTGGCTCCCCCTTCCCCCCGAAGCATCCGGATAATCGTTGATCTACTGGATTGTCCACCTTTACACAGACTGGCAGCAGACAAATTCCCCAGGCCACTCTTGCAAATGAGGCTCTTCCTGTCTCTTGAGCTCTCACCTGGTTACACAAATCTACTGGAACATCGCTGTGTAGTGACTTAGGTTACTAATCCAGAATAGATGTTTGGATTGGGCCTCGTAATGATCTGGCCAAATTCAGTTGCTGCGTGGTGCACAATTGATGTGACACGGGTCGCCGGTTATGATTGTTTCAGCTCACTCACCGGTGAGAGGGCAATCCTCACGGCCATATTTAGCAGCGATTCGATACGAGATGCTTCACGTGAAACTGCATCTGACGCCATCAGGACAGGATCCAGGGAGTCAGAATAATAGTGACTTCGTCACATGTAAATCCACACGCACAGACAAAGATCTCCCGTGTAGCCTTTAACAGACTCTTGGGGCAGGTTATGTTAGTTTGCACCTATGAAGGCCAGCATGACACACAAGGGGGTGGGTGGCTAGCACCACGCCTGGCCGCCTTTGTCTCCCCAGTGGTGATGTTTACAACACCGCACCAGGTACTCATTTTGAGTTCGTTCTAGGGGAGGCCCAAGACCAGCTCAGTTAATAGTCATTGGTGCTGGAATAAGACTCGGGTCGCCAAGTTCGTAGTGCATTACGCTAACTGCTACACTACTGCTCCTCACGCACGCCCACACACGCACACACATGCACACGTGGACGTTTATGGCAGGAGCTGGAAGTGGATGCTAAGATAAGCAATCTGAGTAGCCTGGAGGTGTCCGGCAGCGAGGGATCGGTACCTCACCGCCCGGCAGAGCCGTGCTTCTCCACACGTGTCACAGGACTGCAGCACCTGCGGGTGAGCACACCCACTGCCCAAACCGCTCACACAAACCACACAGACCACACCGCCCACACCGCTCCCTCCAACCAAAAACAACCACACCACTCACACTAACCACCCAACCACACCGCTCACACCAACCACACTGCCCACACCAACCATACCCCTCAGACCAGCCAAAGTAACCATACTGCTCATATTAAACACCCAACCACACCGCTCACACAAACCACACAGACCACACCGCCCACACCGCTCCCTCCAACCAAAACAACCACACCACTCACACTAACCACCCAACCACACCGCTCACACCAACCACATTGCTCACACCAACCACACCGCTCACACCACACCAATCACACCAACCACACCGCTCACACCAACCACACCAATCACACCGCTCACACCACACCAACCACATTGCTCACACCAACCACACCGCTCACACCACACCAACCACACCGCTCACACCACACCAACCACATTGCTCACACCAACCACACCGCTCACACCACACCAACCACAACCGCTCACACCAACCACACCGCTCACACCACACCAACCACACCGCTCACACCACACCAACCACATTGCTCACACTAACCAAACCCATCAAACCACCCACACCATTTACACCGCACACACCAATTGGACCATCAACACCATCTACAAAAACCCACACAAATCACACCAACAACACCGTCCATACCGCTCATGCCGCCAACTACATCCACACCACCCACACTAATCACACCCGCGCACATCAACCGCACCAACCACACCAACAACACCGCCCACACCGCCAACTCCACCCACAACAACTACCCAACCCACACCGCCCCTACTGACGGCGCTGCCCCAGGGCGCTGTGTCACCGGGTGCGGTCACTATGAGCCGAGTGAACGCGTGTCTGTCGCAGGGATCGCTGACCTTCTCCATAGTCCTCGAATGCCACTATGGGGAGATGGACATGATGGAGACTTGGCCCCTGGACATCGGCACTCCGCTGGCCGCCCAGCTTGGCTCCGCATTGCCACCGCACACGCCGAACCTCACGCTCCCTGCGTCCCCCATCTCGCCGCTCGCACGGCCGGCTGCTCCCTTCGCCGACTGTGCCATCAGGTCCCCCTCCCTCCCGTCCTCAGCGGGGTTTGGGGTGGCTAAATCACCCAGTCGCACGGAATCATGGAGCTGGGGTTCGTACGATCATCGCCACGCCGGTCTTGTGTCATCACCACTGCCGCAGTCACCGCTGTCGAATGCACCGTCCCCACCGCTGGGATGTAGCATGGCGGCTATCCGAGTCGAGGGACGGTGATGGTTGAGGCTGGACCGCAACCCTCGCCGCACGTCTCGCGGTCAGGGCCAGTACTCAGGAAGACTTGGGGTGGGCCCTAGTGGGTCATGCCCCACCTTTTGCCCATCCAGGTTCACTCTCCTTGGCGGTGAATCATTGCTATGGTGTCTCCCACATGACAGCTCTTCTGCCCCCCCCCCCTCCCCCCATGCTGAAGATGGAGCCAGGCTTAGTCACGGTGGAGTTGCCACTGAAAATCGTGAAAGGGAAACTCTGGTAACCACTTCCACCATCGCGCGTCATGGCTGTGTACTCGTTTCCACATAAAATGAGGGATGTGAAAGGGTTTTTCTGTGTGTCCTCACTCGATTTCTTCTCGAGCTCGGTGTTATTAAAACGTCGACTGTGCCAGATATACTGGATGAGGTGTGCCGGGTGTGAAACTAGTTAATTCAGCCCTGAACTTTTCCATGACATTACAATAAATAGGCATTCTGTCTGATACCATCTGGGTTGGGAAATACCATTAGTGTCCACTACGGGCAAAACGATTGGCATATATCCCTGCGGTGTAATATATATTTGCCACAAATGAACCACAATGCTGATCTCGTCAATGAGCATAAACCAGACATGGGCAAAGTACGGCCCGCGGGCCGTATACGGCCCGTTGGGCTTTTTAATCCGGCCCACCGAACTTGTCCAAACATTTTTCGATTTAAAGCTTTCGTGACTGCAGGGATTCATCTTCTTGGTTCTTTCGGTAAAGTCCAAATATTAATCAATTAAATTTTACCTTCCTCCTGTAATGCCCCCATTTCCCCATTAGATGGCGCACTTTGACCGGGAGAGATAGAGAATATTCGTATGAGCAATTCATGTTTCTATTGAAAGTAAGTTAACAGTAATATTTGGATTAAGTATTGTTTTTGGAAGCATTCACTGTAATATCGTATGAACGTTTACTTCACCGCATCATCGTATGAATGATGCGAGAAGAGATTAACGGGTTCTTATGTTAGCGATTTATGTACTCGGCGCTTTCGCTCTCTAAATTACGGCTTGAATGAGGGGGAGGGGTATGACTACATCACAAAATTAATATCTTACTAGGAATTTTATATAACAAAAGTTATATACATAACTGTTACGCTTTGTGTAATTCAACAAAACTTAACTCCGAGTTCTCTCCGAATTTCACGAGTCCGTTCTAGACCCCACAGTTTTTTCAAAGCGTTTTAAAGCACAGAAAACATAACGTTAGAAAAATCATTAATTATACAAACTTTTCAATAATTTCCTTCTTCACTTCGATTTAAATTTCTTTAAAAACTTCTCACCAACATTACCACTCATTACCACTTTCTCCGAAGGCAAGTTTGTAAAAGAATACATGGTACAGACAGCAGACATCTCGTGTCCAGAGATCAAAAGCAAATTTGAAAAAGTCAGTTTATCACGCAGGACTGTGACTCGCCGTGTGGAACTGATTGATAAAAATATAGCCAGTCAAACAAAAAGTCTGATTCCTTTGAATTATATTCACTAGCACTGGATGAAAGTACGGACGTAAAAGATACTGCTCAGCTCCTCATTTTTTATCCGAGGCATTGATGACAATTTTTCGATAACAGAGGAGTTTTTGACCATGGAGACCATGAAAGGAACAACGCGGGGAGAGGACTTGTATAACCAGGTATCTGCTGTCATCGAAAGAATGACGCTACCTTGGAGTAAACTTGTCAATGTCACAACGGATGGATCGCCAAATTTAACTGTAAAAAATGTTGGGCTGCTGAAAAGAATCCAGGATAAAGTGAAAGGAAAATCCTGTCCAGGATCTTATTTTCCTTCACTGCATCATCCATCAGGAATCCCTGTGTAAGTCTGTATTGCAGCTTAATCGTGTCGTGAATCCAGTCGTAAAACTTGTGAACTTTATACGAGCAAGGGGACTTCAGCACCGTCAGTTTATTACGTTCCTGGAGGAAACTGATGCGGATCATCAGGACTTGCTGTACCACTCCCGTGTCTGCTGGTTAAGTTTGGGGAAAGTGTTACAACGAGTGTGGGAGCTGAAAGAAGATATTATCGCATTTTTGGAGTTGATGGGGAAATCTGACGAATTCCCTGAGCTAAGCGACAAGAACTGGCTTAGTGACTTTGCGTTTGCAGTGGACATATTTTCACACATGAATGAGCTGAATGTGAAACTGCAGGGGAAAGATCAGTTTGTTCACGACATGTACAAACATGTGAAAGCCTTCAAATCCAGCTCACTTTGTTCTCCGGACAAATTGCGAACAAATCTTTCGCTAATTTCCCCACACTTGCCATGCAGGAAGAGGCACCGCGAAACGCAAAAAAATACAGCAAATCACTTGAGGACCTGCACGGAGAATTCTGCCATAGGTTCTCTGATTTCGAAAAATTGAACAGTCACTTCAGCTGGTGTCCTGTCCCCTGTTACAAGACCCTGAAACAGCACCACAGGAGCTGCAGTTGGAACTGATAGATCTTCAGTCTGACTCCGTCCTAAAGGAGACGTTCAACTCTGTTAAACTGAATGACTTTTATGCTTCACTTAACAGAGCCATGTTTCCAAACCTCCGGAGGACTGCACAGAAGATACTGACTTCGTTTGGCTCGACTTATGTGTGTGAGCAGACATTCAGCGTCATGAACGCCAACAAAGCCCGTCACAGATCAACGTTAACGGATCAGCACCTCAGATCTATCCTGAGAATTGCCACAACCAAAATAACTCCAGACTTGGATGCACTGGCAAAAATGGGAGATCAACAACACTGTTCCCACTGAAACTGAAAGTGATTATGTGTTGCTGCAGCGAGGTTGGAGCCAAATCTCCATCACACAGCCTGCGTGGCTGCTCTAACCTGTTAATGTAGATAATAAAGTTCAAGTGAGGTAATTGGTTTGGGCGCAGGCCTCAGATGTTTTCATGATGTTTGATCAGTCACGTTACGACATGTTTTTGTATTGTTCATGTGCGTGCAATTTGTTAAATTGCCTTGCAAATAAATGCTTTGCTACCTGTTAAAGGCCAAATCCTTTCATGTAATGATTTTTACATGTCATTTATATTAGTTCACACAACACTCCATCCATCTGTTCCTGGCCCGGCCCCTCTGTCAAATTTTAGAACCCATTGTGGCCCGCGAGGAAAAAAGTTTGCCCACCCCTGGCATAAACCATCATGCAAACTCCGGTCATATTCACAGTGGCTTTTGGCTAACCATCGACCAAAGACGGTCACTGCATCGTATGCTTTTAGATGCGCTTCTCCGGCCGTCTGGAACGCTCTTTGCGATATTAGGAACCCACTCGAGCAATGCAGTTTCAGATCTTAATTGAAAACGAATTTCTTTAGAAATGTAAGAATAGGTTTCCCCCTTTTTTTCTGGCAACAAAACAGGTGTTAAGTTGTTAAAACACCAAATTGAAACCTTTTTTTATGAGCAATCATGTCTGTATTAACCACAATACTTGTCGTCAGAATGCAAAAAAACATACTCTGATAATAGATGCATTGACCTTGAAACTGATTGGTCCACACCAGAGACAGCTTTCTTTTGAGCCTCGTCTCAAACGGTGTTAGGCCAAAAGGCGTCCTCTGGTCTAATACCTTTTTTCATTTAGTTTGCTGTCCTTGCCCCACACCTCCGATTGTCACGATTGGCTACGTACGGTGTGAAAGAAGTTAAACATACGGTACCTACTTTTCCTATTTCCATATTCAATAGATGCTTATCGCCCATACCAATGCATCCCTTCAATTAACATTTTTAAAAAATATAAAACTATCGCATTGACCTTGTTATCTAACCTATATAATTCATTTTTTGTCTGTCTGTCTGTCTCTGTCTGTCTGTCTGTTTGTCCGTCTGCGTACGCTCCCTTCCGGGGGATTTAGCTCTCGGACCGTGGGGTTCGCCGAGATTAAATTTTGCAGGTGGGCACGCCCCCGGCCCGCGGTAAACTTAGGTCTTTCCGATTTTTTGTCTCTAAACTTTAAATCGGACCGATTATCGATTTAGTGCGATTGCTCTTTATTTAGTTACATAAATATATATTTATTTATTTAATATTGCCGGCCGGCGCGGACCACGGCGGTTGCCCCTGGCAACGGGTAGCAACAACTTCGCTGCGGGGTGGACGCCATTTTTAATTCCCGTTACAAATATGCGCATGCATTAAGACGCGACTCTGAGGTAAATTCATCAAAGTTTCACGTCCTCTTCACTCCCCTTCCACCCCAATGTGTGCAATTTACTATTATAGGGTCGGTAGATAATAAAATTATAGCGATTAGACAGTATTATTGTAGCGCGGGGGGGGGGCGTAAGGGCCCCAGTACCCACCCTCAGCCGGGTGGGCAATCTAGGCGAGGCCGGAGGCTCTGCACGGTACTAGGCCTCGACACGCAACTCTGTCAGGCGACGACTTTGTGGTATAAACTCGATATACCCAGCGTTGCCCAGGGGAAAAATACATTTAAAATCTTCTGAAAACTTTAAAACATAACATACCAATGAAAATACAACTGTGTAATTAAAATTATAAACCCGACCGCGCCAAGAATCGATTCGCTGAATCGCGAAAAGGAATCGAAGGTTGTAGATTCATTTAGAATCGCCTTATTTCCGTTTAATAAAGTTGGTTATAGAGTTGAAATAAACTGCTACGAATGGCAAATATCCGGCGTTGACTGGGGCTAAATATAATTAAAAACTTACTCCTGAAAACTTTAAAACATAACATAACAATGAAAATAAAACTCTGTAATTAAAAATGGAAACCTCCTATGCGCCAGGAATCGATTCTTTGAATCGCGCAAAGGAATCATCGAAGGTTGTAGATTCCTTTAGGATCGCG